GTATAAAATTGTGTCTAGTATAATTAATCAAAATGTTTATTTATTATAGTTGAATATGAACAACCATTGAAACCTGGATTGAACATATATTTCGCCCAAGACTACCTTGTTTATAATACAAATAAGTCACACAGCAATATTACTCAAAAATTAAACAAACAATCAAATGATCTAGATGTTATTAAAGATTGTCAAATACATAGATTGAGCCAGCAATGTTATCATCCAGAGTTTGACAAATTTAGTTACGAGAGTACCTTTGTTACCGCAGATATAATCAATAATTTAAATACCGGAGATACATGTTTCACATTAAATTACAATGCCAAAACCCCTATTGACATTAATGTTCATTATGGATTTGAGCATGATAAATTTAACAAAAATTTGCACAAGATCCTATCTATTATACCTAAAGTTGGCAAAGTAGTGGAGAATACAACATTTTGTTTGAAAGATTTAATAGCAATTAGCGTTAGAATGTATATTTTTATAGATGTTATACAATTGGATAATAATATTGAAAAAGATTTTTCAATACAAATTATTAAAATGGATGTACCTGGTGGTAAATGGGATCATAGTTATTGGGCCAATGTACCAAAATTTATACATCCTACATTAGCTAAGTGGCCATTACAAATACCGGATACTGTGTTTGAGCAAGTTCCTGATACAAATACATTTCATGTAATAGGTAAAGTAGTATAATATAATATTACTATCTTATTATAAAGTTTTGAAAATTAATTAAACAATTAAATATTTAAAAATTTAGTTACACCTGAAAATGAACTACATGCTACAGCAATACTAATAAGTCACTGGATTAAATATTCACTAAATCTACATTTGGTGGATGGAAAATTTAGTATTGGGGTTAAGGATGAAAAGCTATTGAACGCGCTAACAGTTAGACCAAAAATATGTAATGACCTAGCACAATGTGTCGATGTTAAATACGTAACCATTATGAAAGACGATATATTCAAACGGCCAAATACCTGGACGTACACATTTAATTTTGACGCGATGTTTGACACCACTTATATTAGATTTATGTTCGAGGTGGATTATTTTAAACCAGAAAACTTTGAGATAGATTATGAAATCGAGTTCGATATAAATCTCATCAATTTTGGCGATCCATGCATGGTTAATGATAACAAATGTGTCAGAGAAAATTTGCAACGAGGTTGCGAAGCAAACGAAAAAGATGATGCTAATGTTTGCGGTAGTGTTTGCGCAGAAGGGTTCACTGGACACCAATGTGAAAAAGTTGATTATTGTGCTTATTATGTTGAACCAAAACCTTTAAAGGTAATTTTCATTATTTATCCTGTAAATTTATGATAATTTAATATTATTCATTAGGCTACTGGCAAAAGTAAATGTGCGTTGGTTGCACCTGCTAATCCCGGAACAAAGATTCAGTGCGATCATTCACGATCGACATTTTTTCTTTCAAAAACACTCCCAACTCCAGTATATTACCGTTGTGTATGCAATCATGAAGATTATGTCAATTGGGATGGGTACGATTAATTTAAAATTATGAAAATATTTTTTTTATTAAAAATATTTTTTTATTTAGCATATCATGTATACAAGTCAAAGTCCCTGACGGTGGCGACGCTAATGGTTGGACATTCGATTCAACTGATAAGACGTTTGCAGCTAATAACGACAATAATCAATTGATTTATGCATTTCAAGAAATTAGCACGGATAAACTCGATTTATGTCTAAACCTTGAATATGTACTGACAAAGCCGACTATCGATTTAACTGTTGTTTACACTGACAGTACCAAAAAGGCCAAAGATTTATTTACTATAAATAAATTCCTAGCTAACAGAAGTCCAGTAAAGTTTTGCTTGAGAGATTTCATGTATGAGCCTGATATTAAAACTTTTACACTTACAATCAAAGCCAAAAATCATGTTAAATGGACTGAAAATACTATTTCGAAAGTCAAATTAACACCGTACACTGAAGAATTTACTGAAAAGTTGACACAAAGTGTAAAATTGATACCAGGTATAATAGACAGAGACAAAGAACAGAAATGGCATACATTTCCGTACAGCGACAAGGTATGGACATATGATTCCAATGGTTACACTAATACAGGTAAATAAAATTAAATATATTAATTTTTTGAAATATTTGATAAAAATTGTAATCAAAACTTATAATTATACTTTTGTATATATGACATGTAATGTATATAATTTGGATAACAGTAGTATAATGCCTTCCTGAAGAACTAAAATTTTAGCTTGCTTATATTTGTTAACAAGTTATTTAAATATTTCTCAATTTTAAATTATAGAAACGTTAGTACCGAAAACCTCATTTGAAACCAAATTCATTAGTAATTGGATTGAAAATGATGATGAAATATTCAAGTTAAACAAACGCTTCAAAATCGACATTCCCGGTTACGATCCGGCAAATAAAAATATAATAATTGAGACAGCTATTTTATGGAAAGACAGCGACAAACCTGAACAACGATCACAAATTCTTGGAGAAAAAGACAAAATAATTGATCGACAATTAAATTTCGCAAATCGAAAAGACAGTACACATTTTAAATTGATTTTCATTTTTACATTAATTAACGAGGGTGATGGCACTCTTGATGTTACCATTAAGATAACTGATGTGAGCATTGGAGATCCGTGCGATAAAGGATTTGGTAAAAAACCATGTAATTTGGTTGGTAAATGTGTCGATAATAAGGCACCTAAAACATACACATGTAAATGTGACCCAGGTTTCCTTGGTGATAATTGTGACGCTTACGAGTGCACTGAGTCAACTGTAAGAATTTAATTTATTTTAAAATTTAACATGGATCGCATTTGATTTATATTTATATATTAGGATTTTGATCATTGTGATGACTTACCAAAAGAGCCAATGGATGCTTATCCACATTCTTATTGTGAGAAGTCCAAGAAATCTAATGATATTAATTGCAAATGTCCCAAAAATAAATACGACTATATTGGACAAACGTGCGTAGTTTATATGTTAAATAATAATGTTGTTTAATATAAATAAATTTATTATATTTTAGTTGCGTTCAAAAAAATAATTATGCACTTATCAAAAAAACTTGTCCAAACATCTCAACGTGTGAATTATTTAAATTTGACCAAGCTGTAAGTTTCTCAAACGGGAATATGCCACAAATAAGGCACAAAGACAAAACCGGCCAACCACTGGACGTTTTTCCGTTGTACATATCGGAAGTTGATGGTGATAAGCTAACACAAACATTTACCAATTTTAAGACCGACAAGGATTTGTGTTATTCGTTAAAATATTACGCTAACAAAGGCTCGCAATTAATTGTGTCATACGGGACCAATGAAAATGGATTGATTCTTACCAATCAATACGAGGATGATGAAAATTTAAGCGAGCAAAAAATTTGTGTTTCTGATTTGACTCCGATTCTCGAGAAAGAATTTGCTATAAATTTTAAGGCAAAATTAAATAAAGATCAAAAAATCGGTGTTAATATACCAAATAATATTAGACAACTTACCGATACTTTTATCGATTATGTTGAGTACATACCGCGACTAGATGATACTGTGTCGAAAATTACACCTACATTTGAGTCGATATTTCCAACACGAATTGAGCCTAAACAGAATCTAATCTGGACAAAAGATCCAGCTAAAACTATCATCGCGTTTGCTCGTAAATATATATTTATTTTGATAAATTAATATAATTTTCTTGTCATTTTTTATAATAGCTTCAATTAATGGAAAACAACCGCTTATATCGCAAATGTTAAGTAGATGGCTCAAAAAAACAACCGACACTGTTACACTGCGATTAAACATTAATAGTGATCATAAAGGTTTCGCAATAAAGTTTGTAATTTATGATGAAAAAATGAACCCGACGTATGCAGATGTCATTTATGGAGATGTTACGATTGAGGCAACTGTAAAATAGTTATTTAACTTATCAGACTAACGTTAATCAGATTTATTTAAAATTAACTAGGCAGAACGACCACTACAAACAGATTACATTCACGTAACAATTAAAGTACCAAATGTTAAATTCTACAAATTCGGGTTATACGTCATGTATACTAAAGCTACAACAAAAGACAAACCATTATTTACTATTGACAATCTTGATTTAAACGACGTGTGCTTTAAGGAAATTGACAAAAATAATAGGAAATATATTGACTGTAATACGCGCCAAGATGATATTAAATGTGAAAGAGTATTTGATGTAACGGCTAAGAAATTTGATTTTAAATGCGGTAAATGCGAGCAAGAGGATCAAAAATGGTGGGGCAAGGAATGCGAGAATGATAACTTTTGCGTTCAGAAACATGACAAAGCCGTGAGTAACCATAAATCCTGAATTTTTTAAATTAATTTTTTGTTTGTATTTGCCCAGGGTATGTCTGGTATAGATTACTGCAAAAATAAAGCTGGAGGCGGTAAATGTAGAGTCGATATACAGCATAAAAATGTTTTCAAATGCGAGTGTGCAACCGATTTATATTGGGATCATCCTAATCTAAAGTTAGTTTTAATACCATAGAACTATTTACAAATATAAAAAACATTTAGATTTTGAATCTAAATAAGTGATTAATGAATTTTTATTATACATATTAATCAGATTTTTATTTTAATTACTTATTTAAAATACTAGATATAAATATAAATAACAAATTTAATTATATCGTAAGGACGAATCTAAAATATTATAATACATAATTAATGTTGAAATATATTTTAATATATACTAATTAAAACATTATCATTAAATTAACTAGCTGTTCGCAATTGCCAAAATGTCTGACAATTAAATGCGATGGTGAGGGCCGAAAGTGCTTTGATCTAAAATATGGACCGCAATGTGTAGTTGACAAGGATTACTACATAGAAGACCAAGATAAGAATATTATCAAGATTAATATTTGCGATGATAAATACCGATCGGCCATGGGTCTAACGGAAACGGCATGTAATCCAAAAGGTCCAAAACAGACGTGCCGTTTAATTAATGATAAAGATGGCAAGCAATACCAGTGCACGTGCCCAGTTGGCTATACGCGCAAGCCTAATGATCGTATGTATAAATTGTGAATTTAGAACTTATTTCAATTTATAAATCATTTTAAAATTAAAAATATCTATTTTAAACACTGATTACAACGTTTAGGAAAGTTAGGTCCGTTTCGAATTAATAAATATAATCTCTTAAGCTTTTGTTATTAACCGTATATGAAATTTATTAATTTTTTATTTAAAATTTTTCAAAATTCTTAGTGAATAATAAATATATTCAAATAGTAATCTTAAGCAAACGGAATTAATATACTAATTCCATTTTAATTAAACATAATTTGCATGCAGTAGATTACAACCAAACAGGTTTTATAGTTATATCATCTATATATTAATATCAGTTTTATTTTATTGTAAACTTACAGAAAATAGCATGTGTTTGAATTATAAAATATATTTTCTACAGTATACACATACCATCAATTCATTTAATTATGCATATCTTTGTTTGATGTTTTTCAAATTTGATTATTCATAATATGCATTATTGTAATATATAGGTTAAAATAATATTATTTTGCATTTGTTCAATATAGCTTTAAACCCACAAAAGACAACATGTGAGCCAGTGTTACAAAAATCACCGTTACTTCACCCTTGCGATCATATAGCAGTAGTAGATTCGACAAAAGATCTTGGTTATGTCTGTAAATGTATGAACGATAATTATAATGAGCAAGGTAATAAATGTACAATTAAGCCCGACAAAGATTGCAAGTGCGACAAAAACGGCTATTGCGATGGCACAACATGTGTATGTTTGCATGGTTTTTCTAGGGACCCTATCACAAAACTTTGCGAGGTGATAACACCGATAGGTAAGCGAAGTTTTAAATTGAGTTTATTATATAAATTCTAATTATATATTAATTAAAATTTAGACCCCACTGTATGTTTGAGCACTAAATGGGAAATTTTCCAAGGAAAGCCAGTTTGTAAGTGCGAACCGCCATATGTTCGCAATGATAAAACTTACCTGTGCGAGTTGGGTGCTATTTGCGGAAAGGGTGGCACCGGGCGTCAAGAGTGTGAAAAACAGAATGCATACTGTTTGCTCGAAAGTGGCGGTTACAATTGCAAAGCATGTCCGATAGGTACATTCCCGGACCAGTCGACTCCACAGAAATGTGTCCCCGGGTGTCAACAAAACTACCGCGATGAAAATTGCCAAGAAATTAATGCCGTTTGCAACCCGTCCATGAATCCGAATGATGCCGCTAAACAATTACTGAGCGATTTTTGCATATGTAAGCCTGGTTTCTTAATGAACACTAAAAATCAGCGGTGTATTGCCACAAAAATGGCATGGACATTTAACTTGAAAGTGCTGGACAAGTTTACATCTGGAGATCTTAATAAGCGAACCGTAATTAACCTAGTGCCTAAAGAAATGCAGTTGCTTAGTCAAATTGACTTTCCCAAATACGACAACGAATATATGGACTATGATGGTTATTTCAAAGACTTCTATTCGTCAAACGAGTTGAACACGGCCATAGAGAATACATACTACGTGGATGCTGTAAATGCAGAATTACGTAGGGAAATCGAAAATCTGGTCAAAACCATGTTGGCCGGGCAGGACAAACGAATGGTTATCGACACGCTCACCCTGAACATGGTCAATAAAACGGGTGATTACTATGATTGCACATTTTCGGTTCAAGGCACTAAAGATACAAAGGATATGAAGGCAATCGGCAACGATATCTTCAAAGAATTTTGTCACTCCTTCCAACAGGCAAAAGATTGTTTCGTAGCCGTCACGAGCGCACCGGCACCTAACGAACCCGATATGTTTTTGTTTAACCAGGATAACATTTACCAGTGTACATTAGAATTATTTCAACTTGATAATCTTGATTAAAATGATCCGTGTTTTTATAAACACTTTATTTACTCTATAGTAAAACTCTTAATACAATTAAATGAAAAGTGTTATTGAATCAAATTATTGTAATAAAATGATTAGAGTTAATTAAAATTATATTACAGTTTAAATTAATATTATATCATATAAAAAATAACAACACTTAAAGTAAATCTATTTCATTAATGGGCATTAATAATAAAAATATAAAATATTTTATATTAGTTCATAACAAAAAATTCTAAAATGTAGTTACAATAAAATTAATATATTTGTGCTTAATAAATAAATTTAATTTTTATAATTAATTTGAAATTAAGTTTAAAATAATCGTGCATGCTACATAAAATTTATTACGGGAACACTGTGTTATTCCAAATTGGCATCCCAACTGGTGGAGAATTTGTGTATATTTTTGCTTGTTGGTTATTATTTTGCAATTTACATCAAACCTGTAGAAAATCCAATATTTATATAAATACTCAATATCATCCGGATTTATTATATCTGACATGATTTTATAGGTGGTACAATTATGGATAATGATAATACTACTATACTGTATAGTTTATTAAAAAATTATCGTAACATCCTTATTAATATAAAGTTATTATGATTGATATGACATTAAAATATATTTAAACATTTTAAATTATAGTTAAGTGATTTGTGCCATAAATATTTTTTCTTATTAAACTATTCATATAATTAAATTGTAGCACACTTTTTATAATTAAAATTAATAGAAAATTTTATATAATTGTATTTTTATTACAATAAATATCTAAAAGAAAGTTTAATATATTTTTATATAAAATTCTAAACTATTATCAATTAAGTATTTTCATGAGTTTATAAAACAAAATAATAAATTTAAATTAAAATAATGTGGATATTAATACATAAAATATTTTATAATAATAAATATTTTAAAATTCAATTTCAATGTGGAATAACATGCACACTATTATCAGGAAAGTATTGGTGGTATTTATTTTTGAACCAAATAAATATGAAATGCATTGTATGTGTGAACCAAATGATGAAGTCTTTGCCATTAGTGCCGTTTGCCATCGGAATTGTATGCGACGGTGTGTT